GTTCTGACTGTAGTGGGTTCTGACTGCAGTGGGTTCTCTTTCATAACAACAAGAGGAAAAACAGGGTGCACTCCCCAGAGGATCATGGCAATTGTGGTTACAAAATACAGAGAATTATTAGACAGTAGTCTAACACACACACACACGTAACCAACATGTGTGCAGTCGTTTGTTTGATGCTGAGTCAATAAAGTTTTAAACTGGGAACACTGTGTGGTTTGTGTGTGCTGTAGTTGTGTGTATGTGTGTGTGTTGCTGACTCAGCTGCTGTAAAAGTCAAACATCAGTTTCTGTAGAAATGAAGTGTTTCCAGGTTAGTTTGTTTCTCTGAAGCTTTTGTTAAAATTTGTTTCCACCCAGGGGTTTCCTTCATTTATTATATGAACAATCACATTGAAGCTATACATTCTTATATATATATAACATATGCATCCTGTCAGGGGGGGTGTATATCAGGCAGACAAGGTGCAACAGATTGATGGTTAGAAACCACATTGTGATGGATGACTGCGCGTAGACATCTCCAACCTGCCAGCTCTTTGTGGTGCTGTTCCTGGTCTGCAGCCAGCCTCAAAGTGGTCCAAGGAAAACAGAACCAGGAGACGTTAATGCTGTTCTGATAGAAAGGGCTCAGAAACACAGTGCCAGAGCAGTTCTGTTGTTCTGGGACCAGTCAGGGAGTCCAGTCCTCACAGTGTTACTGATCAGTGGATATTGATGTGTGTATCTCAGAATCAGAATTGGGTTTATTGCCAAGTAAGTTTTTACACATACAAGGAATTTGCCTGGGTGCATTGGTGCATAACAATCAAATAAACAAAGATAAAGATAGAAAGATCTAAACTGTAGGATAGAAAAACCAACGGGAGTACTGCAGTGTGTACTCAATGTATACTTTGTATACTACAGTGTGTACTCTGTATATACCGCAGTGTGTACATTGTGTACTCTGTGTACTCTGTGTGTACTGCAGTGTGTGCATTGTGTACTCTGTGTGTACTGCAGTGTGTACATTGTGTGCTCTGTGTATACTGCAGTGTGTACATTGTGTACTCTGTGTACACTGTGTGTGTGTGTGTGTGTGTGTGTGTGTCAGACAGTAGTCTCTCTGTCTGGACTTCATGGCTCTGCAAACGCCTACACACACACCAATGATCACAGTAACACACAGCAGGACTCCTCCTCTGCAGCTCCTGAACCTGAACCTTCAGAGTCTGAACCAGAATGTAGAGAAGGAAATGTCATGTTTTTACAGAAACATTCACATGATGAATATATGATAATTGATTATTGATCACTCACATTTCTCTATAGTTCAGTTCACTGTCAACAGAAGAAGCACAACCAAAATTTAATAACTACAATACTACAATATTTTCATTTCCTGAACAAAATGCATGGGATTGCTGCATCTGCTGCTACCGCCACCGCTGCATAGCCTCTGAAAGAGTCTCAGCAGGAAGTGTTTGTGATTCACTTCTGAAGATACGACCCAAAATCTGTTGTAATTTAATACTGCATTCAAAAGATATCGGTCCAGAAAAGATAGGGAAGAAATTAAGACTGAAGATAACAACGTGTGATTTTCAGCAATCACAAAATTATTGGACTTCACTTAAACTTGTGAAATAAAGTTAATATTAATAATATAATTATTGTTACTATCATATTAATCAAATACAATACACACCTCTGCCCTGTATCTACAGCGCTGAACTATGCCTTGTATCTATAGTACAAACCTCTGCCCTGTATCTACAGCGCTGACCTTTGTCTTGACCTCTGTAACAATCAATTATTTATAACTGTCTCTGAAAGATAATTACTGTCAAATTATTGGACATAAGGACTTATGAAATAAGGTTTATAATAATAATATCATTATTGCTACTAATACCAATACTAATAATAATATTATTGCTACTTAATACTTTTATATTAATCAAATATACCAGTGGTTCCCATCATTTTCCCTTTAGGGACCCCTTTTTTTAATCACTGAGTCGGCCCCTGATTAAGTGACATATTTTATGGATATTTCATATTATATTCAGTGGATAACAATAACAGTACAGAACAAATATTTTTTTAACACACAGGTCTCAAACTCCAATTGACTTGCTGGTATCATCACCTCATAGGAGGGCCACTTCAACATTCAAGTACTACAAGACAATACAATATTTCTTAAAATATTTCCATTACTGCTATCATACAGCAAACAGTAGTTTCTGTACATGTTTATGTAATAATTTTATATTTGTTGACCTGAAGAGATTTCTTTAGTTTCTTTTTTTATTTGATGTATTTATTTTGTTGTGAAATTGTTTCATTTCCTTATAATTTATAAACATTAAATAATTAATAATAATAATTTTTTTACACACCTAGTTTTTAATTATTTTATTTATTTATTTATTTCCTACCTACTTGCTACTACCTCACTAACCTACTCCACCACCACAATCCTTCCTGAAACCTCTGCTCTTCTGAAGCCAACCTCCTGTCTTATAAAAAAGCTATTATAGATATTTCTCTCTCTGATGCTGAAGCTGTCTGTCTGTCTGCATCAGTCTGACAGGAAGTGATGCAGGCTCTGCAGTGAGACAGGTATTTCCAGATGTTGGCGTTCTGGTCGTCGGTCTGCTGACCTGGAGGCTGATCGTAAGCCTGAACGCCGTCACACACATAGAGGTAACACACAACACACACACACACACACACACACTAATGAAGCAGGTGTAACCTTGTTAAGTTGTCTCCTCTTGTTTCTTAACAAGGTTTCCTGTCTATTAGTGTGTAACTCAGTAAGCTATTTATTAACTGTAATCTGCTTATGTGACTGCATCAGGACACACACACACACTCAGGGTTTAATGATTTCAGGTTCAATCAGTTTATTAGTCGTCCTGTCGGAGTCTGTTTGTTAACATGAAACCAGACCCGCAGACAGCAGCAGTGATGGACACCAGTCCTCATCCTCTTCGTCTTCCTCCTCCTCCTGAGGATGCTGATGTTCACAGGTGGACAAACAGAAGTTTCTCTTCCAGGATGCATCACTTTCTCCACTGAACGTTGATCATTTCTGACACATTGATGTTCAGTTGTTCATTGATTTATCAGTGGAGGCTGTTGGTCAGATTATTACTGAGGTTAATGTTTTCAACCTCTTCTGCTGGTTCAGGCCGATTTTAAACAACAGAGGGCATGTTGAGAAATCGTCAACCCATGAATTAAAATATTACAACCAGCACTGATGTGTTTCAGTCATAAAATTCAGTATACAGTTTAAACAACATGTTTTAGGGTGGAAGACCTCTGTAATAAAAATTAAAAGGAGTTCGGTCAGATAGACCTGCTATTTGAAAAAGATGTCGCTGAGATAACTTCTGTCCTATTGAATTGGGTTTCTCACAACCAAATAAAAATTGATTTGAACCCGAACACCTAACTATGACAGGAATTCACAAATAAGTTCAAGTTATTTTGGATAACACCCAACACTTTTATTACAAAGCAGCAAAAACCAGGAAGTGTTGGTTGTCATCAGCAGTTACTGAATACGACTCCTCTACAGCTGAAAGTGAACAAACAGTAAAATACAAAAGATATCTCAAAGGACAGACAGGACAGAAACTTTAGACCACAGAGGTTCAGTAGAAGCTACAAAAGTACTGAGA